AATTATGAGTAAACAATAGATTAATTCAAATCTTTATTAATAATGACACAAATGTTATAAACGTTGAACAAACTCGTGTCTATCTGAACTCAAAAGCTTAACTGATAAGACATCGATGTATATTCTCTTCTGAAGTCATCCCCTCTTATTACTGTCATATGACTATAACTATTAAGATATCGTTGATTTATGTAGCCACATTACATCTGCTTTGATAATTACACCTAATTTAATTTTACTTTGGATCCTAATCAAATTACTCAAATTACATTAATTGCTACTAGATTGTACGTTCCAGATAACTGTAATCTATAACCTCAAAATGATGGAAAAGATTTATAGCTTAGGTGGATGCTACCAGTATGACATACCTTGAGAATGATGGATTAATTCACAAGATTTTCATTGTTTCATTGAAAAGTAAAACAGTTTTCCTTTGAAATGAGAAGGTTAGAAATATCTGTTACTGAAATCTATAATAATCTAACATTTCACCAGATAAAGACAAATTATTTATATAGCTTCATTCAAATGCATGAATTTATACAATTGAATCTACATTTCTTTGACGTATAAGATAAATATTCAAAATGTAACTAAGATACGTTTAGAAAAAATCGCAATAATAATAAATCAAATAACCAGGACACTGTTATCAAGACCTCGGGTTTGATCGGTAAAAAAAACAGCATGTAATAATAATAATAATAATAATAATAATAATAATATGGTCACTTAAGGTCAACATTATTGATTTCCTGTGTTTTTCTACTAATAATTCTTATACTTGTATTCCGTATATATATATCTATTTTTTTCTGTTGAACTTCCGTTTCCACTAGTTACACATATATGATTTTAATATGTTTTTCTTTCTTCCCCTGGAATAATATATACTTAATCAAGGTTCTTTTAACTCTAGCTTCCTGAAACAACACCAACTAATACAGTTCAATGTTCAATTTTGGCAATATACAGTTATTGATTGTCATATATGTGCCTCCATAGCTATAAATATATGAGTTCATATAGGTTTACATATGTTTGAAATAAAATAAAATATTTTTATTTATTTGATTTACCTAAATACTTTTGTCAAGATTGAATTACTTCAATAATTGGGATAATTTACTGCTTAAATGAAGATTATTTAAGTTAAACGAAATGTAATCATTAAGTTAACAGTAACATTTAAGAATTCAGAGGTCTGAAGGTCTTGTATTTAATTTCTGATGGAGTAGCAGATGATCATTGTCGAGGAGTCCCATTCTAGGACGAGTCACATGTCAAACTGTCCCAGATTATCAAGGTTTATTTAGTCGAGATCATTCTGTGATGTAAACTATGAAACACAAAATTTGTGTTACCTTAAAGAGTGCTCATTGAGAGACAAGATTAATCACTCTCTGAATAAAATAAATTAACTCGATGTATCACAAAAATGTTTGAGTAACAGAACAAATTCAGATTTTTGTGCATTAGCAATCATAGCTATAATAAATATACTACTACCATTTTGAATTTAGTAATCAATAGCCCACCATAGTTATTAGCTGAGTGTTAATTTGATGAGTGACATATATCCATGGAAATGGAAGGCATGTTACCCAATGCCATAGTTCTTAATGCTATCGCTAATTAGTCCTACATACCTTGAAACTTAAATCTAGAGCTTCGTGTCACATACAACTGATAACTAACATTTCAGTATACTTATAAGCCATTTGGATACATCATAACAAACACTTTTTAATGATATTCTAATTAGTATGTTTTATAAAAATCAACAAGACTATGATAATTATTTGGAGTTTTTTAAAACGAATAACCGTAAAACAGCTTTCACTAAGAGTCAAGTGGTTACATTTACAAAACTTTAATTCCGTTATGGCAGTAGAATCTTTCACAAAACACCTGGATTTATAATCTCTTACTTAATTAACTTACTAAGCGGTTTATAAATAATTTAGTCATTTAGTCTAATTTAGTCTATTCAACTACTGGTGAAGACTAAGCCATAGGTTTTGATTATGTGTTGGCGATTCATTATTTCAAACCACGGATATAGAAATAAACTTCATTACTATTACAACAAAAGAAGATCAAGTAACACATGGCGTTACAGGCCGTTCTTATCGAATTCGGTCAAAGAGCATGTTTGGAAAGATCTCTTAAAATCGTGAACAGAGATCCTGTGCATCATTGTTTATGATGAGAACAAATTATAGGAACTTTAAATGTTTAACTTCTTACTTGCTATCATTGTTTTGTTGTTCCGTGCTCTTTGCTTTAATCTTACCTTCTCTAGTTGTAGATAATTAATAATAACTCGCTCTGGCACTGGTAATAACCTTACAGAATAATGTTGGTCAATCATCAGGCTATCCACTTGATGAAAAAATGACAAGTTCCCTGGTGTTGCATTGGCTTGCCGTGATATATGCCATATTTAAACTGTTTATCAATTACTAAACCAGCAAACATAAAACCTTATATTTCATGTTTGTTCTCTACATTAAATGTTGATTTTTATAACAATCTGATCATGCCTGTAAACTGGTGTGAATTCTGTAAATATTATTTTCAGAATATATTATTATTATTATTATTATATATGTGGTTTTTCGATAAAAATCATAAAAACTCTGATAAAAAAATGGAAGTATAACCGGAAGAAAACAAATAAGAAAATTTTGTTTGTGAGATCTTTTTCACTAAAAACTAACATTTTTGGTATTAAATAATGACTTGCTCTAGACCATTCAAAGTTTAGTTTTTTCCTGTTTATCTTCAATCACTAAAGTAGGAAAGAATATCTCTGAAACAATCCAGCATTGATACTCAGTACAACATTGATTAACAAAACTTATGAGTAATCATAATCAAAACCTATACTGTTTTTCTTTTTGAATTTGACTATTCTCCATTAGACTCCTTAATTCATACATATCTGATGACCGTTGACTCATTTAAAAAACTTAGTTTTTTAAAGATGGTGTGTTGTTAGTGTCGGAATGATACAAAATCTACAAATGTCTTCTCTAAAAGATTGTATAATCATGTTGAAGTTAAACGTTAACACCATCGGATGCCGGATCAGTGGTCTTTAAGACCGTTAAAAGACAATCGTTTCATGTTACAAGTAATTTAAAATGTTATACGAATAAGTCACGTTTATGTGATTCATTGAATTGCATTTTATGACCTATGAAAGACTCTTAATGTCCCGTGAGTTTATTATTTCTAAATGAGTATTTCAGGTGACTGTATTTCCTTTCGTGAGAATTTCTGTGCATTACTTTATTATGCCTAAATAAGACTGAATATTATTGAGAGCATGAATTGAACTAAGTCGGGTAGCTATTGAAAATCATGATGTGTGTTGCTGTAGATTCCCAATTAGAACAAACACTTATCAAATACCTTCTGATTTTCAATGGTTGTCTAACTTGAAATGATTCGTGATCTCAGCAGCACTGAACGACCTTCATCAACTGTCTATACTGAAAACTGGATACATATGCCATTAAACTATTGACTCATAATAGCAAGACTATAAGTATATTACCCATGAAACGATACAATAAATTATAGTCAGTAGTGCGAAAGCGTCACCTTCCCAGTAGTAATAAATCTGTATCATCTCTACATCGTTCTTTCGTCAAATATATTATCACAAATAATGTTAGTGATAATCTTTGACTTAGTTTTGACCTTTTATTCTCAATAATTAGTTATTTAAAGCATTATTAGGTTTAAGAGAATATTTAAACAACTGTGTGTTTCTATCATGTTTGATAAGTTTATGGTACATTAGAAATGTAGCCTGATAAAAGTCACATGATTTAAATGATGCATGTAACGTTTGTACTTCAAAGCAAAATTATTAATTGAAGAAAATCTTTATTTAAACGTACTTGTATATGAAATTAGATCAAATTTGAAAGTTGAGATTTCAGAGAAAAAAGGTGATGAGATTAAAATATAACTATCAGAAGGGGGTTTCGTGGAGATTTTATTAATTTTATAGTTGAGATCATGAGTCAATTGAAGCTAGACCACCATGGAAAACCTGGAAGCACTGGACGGCCGTTTCATCCTATTGTGGGACGCTTTAGCAATGTGCTTGGCTGCTCAATTTCGTGGGTTGGTTGAAGGTAGACATTAACACCGTTGGATGCTGGCTCAGTGGTTTACCGGTGAAGTGCTCGGGCGCGAGACTGATAGGCCCTGGGTTCGAATCTCGCGAGGCAGGATCGTGGATGCGCACTACTGAGCAGTCCCACAATAGGTTGAAACGACCTTCCAGTGCTTCCAGGCTTTCCATGGTGTTTTAGCTTCAACTGTCTCATGATCTCGACCATATAAAATATGAGATAACTGTTCTATATGTCTAAACACCAGTACTAATTTTGATTTTTGAAAGGAATTCTTGGTAGTTTGATTTATGAATATTTAAAATAATTTATACTGACAAACCAAAAAGGTTGTGTTTGTTTCCACTAATAAGAAACAAACACTCAAACAAAGTATACGAATAAATGAGCCAACATAAATTGAAATTATGAACCTTTAAGACCCTATTCTTTATACTCTAAAGGTAACATTTTTACCACAAGGCTTGTGGACCCTGATCTCTATGCATAATAATGTCATTGGCATCCATCCTTGATGGTTATCGTTAGGTAATGTTTGTTCATGATTGAAACAATAAAATGACCAATAGAGATAACTGAATTCCATTTAAAAACAAAAGATTTCAATCCGTATACTTATGGAGTCTATATAAACATATATAAGTTGGCGAAATAATGAAATCCCAATTTCATTCCTCTTGTAAACTATCATCCGTACGAATATTTTAATAAAATTTTATTATTATAAATCTACGACGCAACATAACTGTACAGCAGTGTAATCACCACCTTTCAGCTATAAACGTTAAATAGTATAAAAAGAAGTAATCTATACGAAATCAAAAATCATTGAAGAATACTCACTTTATCAATTTTCTTTTTAAAATAATCCTTATGTTTATTTTTAAACCGTTGACCCGTCTCAACTTGGTATGGTACAGTCAATAGGCCATCAGATTTTTCTGATAGATCAATACCAAGTGTAGCGGCGGCTTTTGCACTGATTTTCATAGATTTAATTGCACCATTTGGATCAATAAGAACTGGTGATGAATTGATCGTTGGTTTGTTAAAAACATTAGTAGATTGATCTGTATCAGTATCACTTTTACTTAATTCTACTGAATGATGTTGGTCTTCTTCATCAGTTAACTGACTATCAGCTAGGGTTAAATGTTCACTTGTCTCTTGAGCAATTTGTTCGGCTTTTTCTACTTGAACTAAATTACGAGCGGTTTGTACTAGCCTGGCTACACTAGAACCTGAACTGGAACTATCACTATCGTCGTTATCATCGTCTTCATTATTACCATCAGTTGGGTCAGCATCATCTCCAAAATCCATTTCATCTCCATAGTTAACATCAATATTTGTTTCAATTTCTTCACTTCTTGACATAACATTTTCTACTAGAGCTACACTATTATCTTTCATAACATCCTTATCAAAAGAACTATGATCAGTTCTCTGGAAATCACCTTGATCTAACGTATTTAAATCATATGATATGTTCGATTGTGTATTTATATTCTCTGAATTCGATGTGACTTCTTTCTGATCCAAATTATCAGCCATAAAGAAATGAATTTCACTATGTTTCTATAACAATATTTATGTGTATATATATTCAATAAATATGTATATATTTATCCAAAACAATCGATGAGTGATACCGAGGAATGTATAGTTGTTGTCTAAAGAAAATACTCCGCATTCATAATTGGTATAAATAAGGATAAGTAAGGAAAACTATCCTTTTCTGTTTAAGTTATATTTAGTCAAATGTTTTAAGGTTAGAAAATGATCTGAATAAAATAAAATTGTCATACTATAAATTTTATATTATAAGCATGTTTTGATTGGCTGATGTGTTATTAGCCAATCAGAATCCAGTTTAGGATCAGCTGTTATGTCAGAGACAGAAATAAGGTAGCCAAATTTTCCCCATCAACTTATAAAATAATATAGGAGGTACACATTGACTACCATACGAGTTTTTCTTATTTACTGACTAGTTTGAATTCTTTTGCTAATTGTAATCAATTATCTCTTAAGAACAAGTTAATCGTTGAAAAATTCCCATCATCTTTAAAACAAATATACGAACGAAGAATATTCTCTTCAAGTTCTGCAACTATTATCCAAATTATCATAACTCGAGAAATTGTCGGATTTGAAGCGAATATATACCACGTGATTGAAGTTTTTATATTGATATGGCTAATACACGATGTTAACTTGGAAACATTTATGATTAAAAATCAGAATATGAAAAACATGCACTGAGAGAGGTTATAATCTAGTTAGAAATTAACATAAATGTTTAGTTAGTGATTGCGTAATATATTAGTAATATGGGTTAGATAAGAAATTATAAATAGCGGTGGATACTAAATACATTTCCTAAACGTTTACAACAGTTATGATAATAATAACAATAATAGGATATGAAAATAAGACTAATGTAAACTATGGAAACGTAAAGTGGAAGGTTGTACCTACTTTCATCAAATCAAGCCCTCAAATCTACAAAATAATTGATGAGTAATTTGGATGAAGTAATTTGACAAAGGTCAAACGAGTGAATAAATATGTCTCTTGGGTACCCAAATCTCCGATGTTTTGATCTGAATAGCTATTGGCTCAGTCTTTTAAAAGATCTGATGGAGCTAAACACATAACTATTAACATGATATATCACTGTAAATAACTGTTCAGTGTTAGCTGTATAACCCATTTGCACTAAGTGAGCAGGGACTGGACTGTTAATAGTTTTTTCACCGACCCCAATTTATAGTTTCTTGCTAAATAACTACACTGTAACCTTTCCTACTCTACGTTTCTCATACTAATTCTGGTTATTAATCTCAAAATTTTAAATAACATCTAAACTTATTCAAGCGAACATCATATATTGTGTACGCAAGAAAAACAAATTCAAAAACATATACTATATCGTGAGTCAACTAGATATCACAATGAGCATTGAATGATAATAATAAGATTTAGCGGATTTCTTGAAGTTTGAAATACCGAGACCTGAATTTCGATTTAAATTGTTGAAACGTAATCAGACAGCTTAAAGATCCTAATTTTGATTAATGATCCCCTTGATTAGTTTAAATCACATCCTCCCAAAGAGTTTAAAATTAAGACTAAACTAATATTTTATGCACCATTCTTAATAGTCGCTAGGGTGATATGAGTCAGTGATGTAAATTCAATTCAACATTTTAACAAAATAAAATGTAACTTTGTAAACCCATCAAATATTAACAGAAACTAGATAATAGTTTTTTCAGAAGGGGATTTGTGGCGATTTCGGTATTTTTCAAAGTTGAAATCATGAATCAATTGAAGCTAGATCACCATCGAAAACCTAGAAGCACTGGACGGCCGTTTCGTCCTATTATGGGACTCCTCAGCAGTGCGCATCCACGAACCTGCTCTCGCGAGATTTGAATCCAGGACCTACCAGTCTCGAGCCAGAGCACTTAACCGATAGACCACTGAGCCAGCATCCAACTATGTTAATGTCTAACTTCAACCGATCCACGAATTATGAGCGACCATTCACCAATTGTCTTTAGTGAGTTGTTATCTCACAACAGACGTGGTTGAACTCCACTGGTCACTGCTTCCCACTAGAACTCCAGAACTCCAGTTTTTTCATTGAGCGGCGAAAAAAAAGAACAAAATGTACATATATTTCTGTCTAAATATTGTAGTGTTGGTTACTATGTTAAGTTCACATAGCTTATTCTAGCTTTCGTACAAGCCAATTTACTCATTCTCCTTCAGTCAAATTATTCGCCTGTCAACCCGGACTGTTTTCATGTGAGCTTATGTATGTACATTTCCTATCTAACTCATCACATATTCGTAATTTATTTTAATCTAATTATAAGTATCGATTCATGCTTGATTAAATTGAGTTGACTCACTCATCTTCTTCATTGCGCATCAAATTTCCTTCGCTTTCTTCGCTTTTTTCGCTTCATCCCTCTGATCGTTTATCCAAATCAATTAGTGTACAAAATATACCCATTCAAAAATCCATTCTCGTGTTTGACTTATTTAATTTCGTTATTCACCAACACGATTTAAGTCGTTGATTATATACGTGAATTGGCGACATGTATATTTCAATAACAAGCAGCATCCGATCAAACTGTAGTCAGATACTAAGGCATTAAAACTTTTTTTCTTAAATATGGTTATTAAAATGATAGAATTAAGCAAATTTCTTATAAATCTATGTACTTTATGTTCTACTCATGTCTGAATGCTAATTTTAAAAACAATTTTTGAAAAGAAATGAATGAAAATCTATGTAACTGTTAATAAACTTAGAAAAAAAAACAGTTTTCATGAAAATTCTAACAATAAATAATTGGAATAAATGAAAATAATGATGAAAACGAATGAACATGTTTTAGCAACCTACTTAAGTTGTAAACATAATTACAAAGAATACATATCGTTTCCAGATGAACTTCAGTGATTATGATAATGTAATAAAAAAAATGTGGATTACTATTATTATCATTATTTATGGCTTTATTCGATATTATATTTTTGGTATAATATAAAATTCTCAGCTCTTGTTTGACTGTTGGTAATTGCTGTCTTCTTGTTCTTCTTTTCTTAAATCTTCTCGAGGGTTCCCGCAGAGATCCATTCCTTATGATGATGCTTTTTGTGGCCCAGAACCTCCTGACACGTTGGAGTTGATGCTTCCTTCATCCCTTTCCAGTTGTCCTTCATATCAGTTTCTTCATCTTTCAGCGTATCCAGTAATGCTTAGAACCTTTTGTTGAGAGTCATGTTGAATTCGTTGAGTTTGTTAGTATCTCGAAGGAAGACTGTATTGAAGCTTTGTATTGCTGTTTCTCCAGTTGTCAAGTGTTTCTTTAGCTTCAGTTTCATCTTGACCACAACTAGGTGGTCATCTGAAGCTATGTTAGCTCCTCTCCTGGTTCCCACGTCTTCCAGTGATCTTTTCATTTTTTTTAGTAATGCAAATATGATCGGTCTGATTTTATGTAATGTGATCCGGTGAGACCGATGTAGCTTTATGTATGCGCTTGTGTGGAAATATTGTGCCGCCTATAACCATTTTGTGAATATGCACAGATTTTCAAATCTGTAACCATTCTCATTCCTTTCTCTTAGCCAGTTCATGTCGTCCCATGATATCTTCATATTCGGTGTTGTCCACTCCGACATTGGCATTTAGGTCTCCCCTCAAGATGGTTAGACCATTTCCTGAACACTTCTCTATAATTGAATGCAGCTTTTCATAGAACTGATCTTTGTTGTCATCGTCCCTATCATTGGTTGGTGCATAACACTGAATAATATTCATCGTGATTCCATTATTCTATGTTTTGAAAGATGCTTTGATAATTCTGGATCCACGAGATTCCCATCCTATAAGTGCATTTTGTGTTTCTCTGGACAGCATTAGAGCACCTCTCTGAGTGTGTGAAGCATTTTCCTCTTCGTGACTAGAGTACAACAGCATGTCTCCGGAATCTATCTTTTTCTGTCCAGCTTGTGTCCTTTGGGTTTCGCTGATTCAGAGTACTGCCAATTTGTATCTCCTCATCTCCGTTGTTATTTGATTAGTTTTCCTGATCTCTCACATTGTCCGGACATTCCATATACCTATGTTACTTGTTGTTTTGGTTGTTAGAAGGGGCATTAGCTTCTTCACTTCCGAAGAATCTCAACTTTCATCCTGAGGCGTCGTAATTCTTGTGAATAAAAATCTTTCAACTCGGAAAACATAGTTGAAATGGTTTAAATAGTTTATCCCGGCAAGCACATTTTAGCAAAGTTGTTTTAAAGGGATGGGTCTAATGACTCCATATGCAATCCTCCTTTTTTAACTGGGCTTTGGACTGACAGTAACTCTAGAAGAGCAACAGGCGGAGTTTTCAAATTAGGTTAGTGAACCTTAATTGGTAAGCTTGGAAATTTAGAAACTTTGTTTCCACATGACGCACTTGATGTCAGCTTTTTTGCCATTCGTCGCAAAACAAATGGTTTTTATTAGTCAGGATTCTTTGCCATGAACTGATTTAACTAATTCCATGTCTACAAACATCAGTATTAGATAGTAAGCTACTATCGTTTCAGTTTTAGAAGTCGGGATAAGGTGAACTGGCACCTTTTAGAATTCTTACAATAAAAATATCATTTAGTTAAATGATTTTTTTGATCGGTTCAATGCTACTGACGTAGCAATTTCTGAAATGATGTTACCCATTCATAAAGAATCTCTTTACAAAATAAAAAGAGTTATTAATGAAATGTTTGAAGTGCCTTGTATTAATTCGTTCAAAGTAATGGTGGATATGAAAATTCTTTCGAAATTAGAAAGGAATGAGTTACTGTTCCGTCTTTCCTTTTTCCTCTGTGTTACTGGTCAAATTAAAATAAACATCTTGACACACTGATAATCATAAATAGCTTATTATTTGGAAATTTCTAAGCTTGGTTTTATTACCCTTGTTTTGTTGATCTGATTTCATCAAAAATCATTATCATCTGCCAATCAAAAAAACACAATATAGTAAACATATTATACTTAAAAGAATTGAAGTACAATCAAAAAGTCTAACAGCGATAATGTAATTCCTTTACTCTTGCTTGTCAGAAATTTATTTTTTTTGTAATGTTGTATCGGTTGATACTATACTAAGCCCACATAAGTTATTTCAGCTTCGTGACAGACTAATTTATTCATTCTTCTCAAGTCACATTTTAACTTTGTCACTTATTTGCTTAATAACCTAGTTTCCTCATATGATTGTATGTGAATTAATTCTTTCTCATATTTATTTCGTATCTTTA